AATTTTCCAACTTTATCCATTAGGATGGTCCGAACAACCAAGATATATTCTTAAAGTCTCAAATGGGCCAAGAATGCATCTTTCTCAGCTAAATCCATTAAGTCCAAGTCTCCAACCTTCAAATCCAAGTCAACATAATGTTTATACGGATAATTTTTCCAACTTTATCCATAATAATGTCTCAAGCTTTCAGGATCTAAACTTCAATACAAAAAATGACCTAGATAACCAAAATAACTCGCATGGCTGAAAGGGAAGGCAAAATATCAAAACTCTCCTAGTCCATGAGGTCCAAGAAAACATTCTAAACTGATCAAAAGATGTTGGAGTCTAGATCTGAAACATACAATGTTTTTGGGACCAATGAGAGCAATAATGTTGCAAACTTTATTCCCAACTCTCACTCAAAACTCATTAACACGGACCAAAACACTAATACACTTAGATCCAAGATGAAATGCAATAAAGCTTGGAACTTTATAACTTACAAAGGTCTAGAAGGAAGATGAAAGTTGAGATCTTCAACTGCCAAGCTTCAAGGATCAACCATTCATGAAAAACATTGCTCCAAAACCACCAAAAAATCCAAAAACTGATGAAAGAGGAAGGGGGAGGCTCAAATCTTGAAAATGGAGGCTAGGGTTTCTCCTAAGAGGTTCTAGATATGATGGAGGCTAAGAAAATACCCTAAAACATGAATCCTTACCTTAAAATACCTTGAAAACCCTAAAAATTATGTGGGCTTTGGGTTGCATAGTTCTCACGTCATGAGAATAAATTCTTACCTCGTGAGGACTCTCACGCCATGAGAATTACTTCTCACCCTGTGAGAACGAGTTTTCACCCAATTTCACTACAACTTCAAACAATCATAACTTCTTCGTTTCAACTCCATTTTTGGCATTCTTTGTATGCACAGAAAGGTATTGAGGAGTCACACAACTCTATTTAATTACATTTGACTTAAAACACACCGAACTAAAATCCTTAATTCATGAAAGAAGTCTGAAACATCACTTTTCCCATTTTATCCTTTGACTCTAAAACACAAACCAAGAGCTTGGAACACATAACCAATATTATCCACATCTGATAGGGTCTAAACCCTATTCCGTTAAAGCCCAAGGCCTCTACTTGATCCATTTATTGTCCATAATCTCGAAATAAGAAACTTCTCGAAACAGGATGTTACAAGTTAAAATAGACTCGGGGTAAAATAGACCCAGGTGTGAAATTGACCCGTTCAGTTGAAAAACACCGATTGAGTTGAAATAGACTCGGGGTGAAATAGACCCAGGTTGAAGTAGACCCGTTCCAGCTTCAAGGTGATATGTATGTATGGTATGCGGTATTTTAGGGAAACTCACTAAGCTTTGTGCTTAAGATTTCATATTTATTGTTTCAGGTACTTCCAATTCCAAAGGGAAGAGCTCGACATGATTGCATTGCACCCACCAGTGTTCCGCATTCTATGACTTGTTTTGTACTTTGATAACTATTTGATACATTTTTATACTATGATTGGGTTTTTGAAATGAATGAGTGGTTGATTTGGGTTTACTTAAAAAAACTCACTTAGTATTTTTGAGACGTTACATTTCTTTTCATACTTATTCGATAATTTTGTGGTGGATGTGTTAAACAAACCTCATTTTCCATATAATCATAATTAATACCAATCCAAATATTCACATAACCGATCTAAAATTGTACATCAAGATAACTTAAGCAAAATGTACCAAAAAACAAAAAATATTCACTTGTGTCAGTTTGAAAACATATCACATAACTTGCAACTGAGGTACATCAGTCGTTTCAATCATGGGCTCACTAGGCGACCACTACACAGCAAGCCCCTCCTTTGGAGTAACGTGTAACCTCCTGATCGTATGATTGTTGTCCTAATCATAAACTATTTAGAAGAATTTGATAACCGGTCAAAAAGATTGTAGTGATTAAATTAATTTGGCCGGGTTAGTTTTGTCCCAAACATTTTTTGTCCAAATATTTGCTACAAACAATTAGTCTTTAAATCCGATTATAAAACTATCTTATTATCATAATATAATACATGTGATTTTTTTAATAAACCGACTTATGAGAATCTAGAAAACATAGTTTAATGGATAGCTCAACAATATGGAATATTAGTTTGATATTTAATGGATTAATTAGCATCATAACATGTCACAATTGGACATAAAATTTAATGGTCATTGGAAAAAAAAATTAATCTTTAATAAATGTCATGAATTATGTTTTATAATAAATTTCAGTACTCAATGGAAAAAAAAAATTATAGAGTTTAACGAAAAATAGAAGGATTATATGTAACAATGTAAATTGTTAAACTCTATAAAAATAGGAGGATGACGTGTAATAGCATAAGTCGTTAAACTCTATAAGCATTACAGTTGCATGCGTTAAGCTAGTGGGTGCGTACAACATGTTATTACATGTTATCACACCCAAAACTTGCCACCTCACCATCCTAATCATATATGGTGTTATAACACCAAGTATGGAAATAGGCAACACCAAATAACATGTTATAACACCATCTAATTTCCATGTCATCATTTTTATTGTTTTTTTTTTCGTTTTTTGTGAATAATTATAAAAAACAAATAAATTAATAAAACATGATATTTTAATAAATCCTAAATTACACATAATATTTTTTTTAAAAAGTAAAACAAAGGACAAAAACATTTAAAAATTAAAAAAAAACATTAAAAGACAAAAAAAAATTACAAACTTCCCCCTAAATTATTCATCTTCATTTTCATCGTATATATAATTTGCCAAGTCTTCTCGAAGTTGCTTGTGTTTTCGTTGGTCTTGAATATCAACGAATATATGTAAATATTCAGTTGTCCCTGGTTGAAATTGCACATGTCTAGGTTCCGTAGGCGAATACTCTGCAATATTTCATCATTTATCTTCAGTCACCATGTTATGCATTATGATACATGCATACATAATATCTCGTAGAGTTACTAACTCATATGGCCGTGTCACATGTTGAACTATGTGTCATTTTGATTGTAGAACTCCAAAAGCACGTTCAACATCCTTACGCGCTCCTCCTTGTCTTCTCTTAAAAAAATTGTATATTGGGTCTACCGGGTGTCGAAACGCCTTCACAGACGTGGAATATGGTGGATATATTTCATCTATAAGGTAATACCCAAACGTATACTCATGTCTATTCACTGTGAAATGAGCATTTTGGTGTCTTTCCTGATAAGAGATCTCGAATATTGGTGACTAATCAAGAACGTTTACGTCGTTGTTGGAACACGCAAACCCGAAAAAAGCATGCCAAATCCATAAGTCTTGGGAAGCAACAACCTCTAATACCAACAAAGGCGCTCCATAATAACCACTTGTGTATTGGCCTTTCCACGCCACATGACAATTTCTCCATGTCCACTTTGTGCAATGCTTCCAAGCATACACGGAAAACCATGTCTTTATTCATGTGCCACATATAGTTGTTGCACATCATTCGATGAAGGTTTACGCAAGTATTTGTCACCGAAAGTTTGGACAACACCTCTTGACAATCTATACACACTTTCTCATGCAGTTCTCTCGGACATTCTCATATAATCGTCAATAGAATCGGGTGACTCCCCCATAGCCATAAGCTTAATTGCCACAACATATTTCTGTAACCCTGTGAAACCTCACTTACCTCTAGCATTGTACCTCATTTTGAAAAATTCATACCATAACATATATTTAATAGGTAAAAATATGTATTTATTTTATCTAAAACCTACATTATAATTTACAAAACTTGAAAGAAACGATACTTTCTTTCTAATGCGTTGACTATCCGTCCAAACACATTTTTTCGCAAGAGAAACCTTCTTTTGAAATCGCTAAGTTGGTAGACACAATTATCCGCAAAATAATCGTTAACTAGACGTCTATGTCATTCTTCGTGATCTTTGTTTAACGTCGTACGTCGTGTGAGTAGTTGAACAATATCTAGTTGTAGTAGCACGCGTGTAGAATACCGGTACATCATAGTCACAAAGAAATCGTTGTTGTGTTTATCATTGTTGAACGTTTGAAAAGGATCACGAGGATCCATTTTTTGTTTTGAAACAATGAAAGTTTATATGAAATAGAAAGAAAGAAAAGGAAGTGGTAAAAACTAGTGTTGTTTTTATGTATTTATTTGTGATTTAAATTGAAAAAAAAATTGTTTTTTTTTACTTTGTGACCGTTCCTCAACGGTCAAATTGTCACCAATTGCGAGCAAAAGCAGCCGTTTCCTCCCATTGCCAACATAACGAGTGTAACATAACGCCCAAAAACGCGAAGACCGAGGGGGTAGGGGTGTTGTAGCCGTTATACCTTAGGTACCTAGTCAGAAAAACGAGGTAGGACATTGCACATACCCGATAGTCTTAGAATTTAGATGATTTTTAGGGATGTTTTTAAGCCAAAATTTGATCATTTAACACGTGACAAAAATATAAACGAAATCCACTTAATTATTTAATTTATATATAATAGAATAGAATTTCAATTTTTTCAAACTTTAAAAGAACTTACTTAAGTCTTACCCCCATCCTTTTCGTATGGGTGATCATCCTACATAGCATTTACGGATAACATTTTAGTCATATATAATAAATTTTGTTTTATATAGTAATCATCTAAAATATACATTATGACTAAATATATTGTATTGTGTATAAATCACATTCATCTTCATATTATTGATGAGTATGGTAGTCAATTCATTGTTTCAAAAACAAGGACCAAAGCCTTGTCGTTTACTACAGTACTGATATGTATCCTCCTGGCATCACTCTACTTCACTAGTACTCGTACATCACCTTTTAACTGCAATTTCACCAACCCTTTTGCAATGCCTTTAAACTACACTTCTGTTACTTACCATTATGTTCTTAAATAAATGCTTTGACCATGGCGAACAACAATGTAATCTCATTCATGAACTAACTAGCAAACTAATTCTGATATATAATCCATGTAAACATGGTATAGAATAGAACATCACAGTAGCTGTTAATTAGCAAGAAATCCCAGTAAATGCAAACAACAAGAAAGCTAGATAAAATAAAAACAGATACAATTATCGATTAAACTCTCGGCATCAGATGACCCTCGTTCGCCAGCTTGAAAACCTTCGCTTGAGCCTCTGCCGCCTTGTTTGAACCGAGTGATGCCAGGAAACTGTCTCGAACGTGGGTGGTTGTGAAGGGGAAGTTCTTGTTGACCATGGAGTTGAGCAAAGAAGCTGTTCCTTCCCGGTAGAGTTCACCAATGCCATCGGTTCTGGTGTTTGAAAGTGCTTCCTGTAAGTTCATGATTGACCCGAATCCAGGAAGGCGGTCAAGTCCCATGACTCGGCCTATTGTCGTACGCCACCACCCGAATAGGTCCGAGAGCAACCGTGGGTGTGTTCTCCAGAAACTGCATTGGAAAAATGGAAATCAATTCCTTTGTAAAAGATTTTGTCTTCTTAAAGTGGTATATAAACTGTAAAGAATAAACCTTCCAAAACGAACATATATGCACAAGCGGACCTACATGCATGATCAAATTTTATAGTACAAGAAAATAAAATTTTGTTCTTTCAAATCCGGTCAGTTTTTAGTTACTTACTCGCATGTGCCTCCAATGAAGGGTATGTTTGGGAAAAGTGGAGGAGAAGGGACCGTGTTACCAGTAACAGGTGGAGTAGTAGACGGAGTTTTTGATCGTGGGGTGGTTGATGGATCAGAGTGTGACCCTGGGGTGGTGGAAGGAGTTTTCGACGGCGGGTTGGAGTAAGGAGTTGCTGGAGGTGAGTAGTAGTATCCGGAGGCCGGTGTGGGGGGAGGGCTGTGAGAATCCGTGGGGGAGGGAGCTACGATTGGTCCAGTTGGAGTGGAACTTGACGGAACTCCACAACTGCAACCACTTGGTGGAGAAGGGTTGTGATGCGCGGTGGGAGAGGGAGGATTGACTACAGGGGGATGAGAAGGTGTAGTTGGTGTGACACTAGGAGAACTGCCAGTACTGCCACTGCCACCGCTGCTTGGAGGGCTGTAATGATATCCGGTAGGAGGTGGAGGGGTGGGGTTGTGAACGCCACTAGTTGGTGGAATGTCGCAGTTAGTAGGTGGTTTTTGTCCATGGTGATGATGGTGACCACCATGCCCGTGATGATGAGAAGGTGTAGGATGAACCGGCGGTGTGTTGCTACCTGATGATGGGGGGGTCTCTGCAGGAGCAGGCGGTGTGCTGCCGCCTGACGGAGGAGTAGGGGGTGGATTTTGGTAGGAAACTGCAAACAAACCATCATAAATCAAGAATCAACAACACGTACATCAGATTCCATCAAAATATACACAAATTTGACTGCTAAACTTTTACCTGCAGGTGGTTCATTTGCATGAGCCGGCGGTGGAGATGGTAAGGAAACTGAGAAAAAAAAATCACGTAAATCAATAATCAGCAAATGGGTACCTCAAATATACACAAATAACAAGATCACCCATTGCTCAAAAGATCAAAACTTTTACCTGCGGGTGGATTATCTACATGAGCAGGTGGTGGATTTTGGTAATACACTGCAAAAAGAACACCATAAATACATCAGATTCCGTCGATATGCACAAAATTTACAAGCCCATTGCTCAAAAGTGGTAAACTTTTACCTATGGGAGGATCACTTGCATGAGCAGGGGGTGGATTTTGGTAGGAAACTGCAAACAAACCACAAAAAATCAAGAATCAGCAAAAGGTAACACACAGAAATGTATATGATTCATCACTCTGAACTTCTAAGGTTTTACCTGCGGGTGTATTTGGGTATGGAGTGTAGTAGAAGTAGAAGTTTTTTTCATCTTGAAATTTTGAAGAAGCAGCAGACAAACCAGCAGCAAATGCCCATAACAGCAACCATGTTGTTAGGGTTTTGTTTGTCTCCATTTTCTTTAGCTTCAGCATGGTGTGGAGAAAGGGTTATGATTCAAGTCGTATATATAGCGAAAAAAGAAAGAGGAAGGGATGGGTAGTATAGTAAATTAAAGCAAGGAGATGAAATATGTGGTTGGTTGATTTCTTGATGTCTGCATTTAAGATGCCATTGATTGCTCACTCCATGGTTAAACAAGTTTACCGATGGTTTTGGCCTTGACTCAATAATAACATTTTGAACCTCTTTAATAATTTGAGAAAAGGTAAAATATTGAACATGGTGTGATTAATAGATTGACTTTTGAGTAATGTAAAAAAAATAATAATGTGAGAATATAATTATAAACAGCTAATGATTATATGTTGGTATTGAATTTCTATTAACTTTACAATAAATCATAATATCAATAAGTTTGACTATAAAAGTAGGACCATCTTTTGATATTATATTTTTGGCAAGAAAATATTTACAGTACACTAGAAAACAAAAAATGAAACAAATCAATTTTTGAGTAATGTCATAAATACAAAAAACTAATTATATATACCAATACTAACTTGGTAACAAGTTTAAGATATTATATTTGTCCTATAGTTATTATTACTACTATAAAAAGTCAAACTATATATCTTTTGTGTTTCCTTTTTTTGGTAAGAAAAAATTACAACGTAGAAGGAAAAGGAAACGTTTGGGAATGAAGACCAACCAATATGTAACGTATCGTATTACTGTTGAAAATATTTATCTTCGTATATGATCAGATTCATATACAAGTATCAACGTTGATTTGAAATTTGATTAGATTATCACTATCAACCCAGATTGATAAAGTTAAGAATAGTTTAACAGATTTTGTAAAGTAATTTTACAATTTAATGTAGAGTAAATATCATATTATTCTTATTAACAAAATACCATATATATAAGTTAGTATATATCAAAGTCATTAAAACTTTACAGTGTGAACCATGGAGATTAATCTGAACTATTAATGTTATAAAGGCATAATTATCATATACCTTTTCATTGAATTTTTTGTAACTCATTTTTTTTTAAACAAAAAGAAGTAAAGATTTTTTTTTTTTTGGTAACTCGTTTAATTGATTATTCATACGTCACATATCACATACCAGTTGGTGGTTAGTTGTATTATGATTTGAAAAGAAAGATCAGGAAATGTGTAAAGTGTTCTTCACGTTCAGTGTTGTTAGAAACAAGAACACTACGAAAATATATGGGATTGTGTTTATTAGTTTCTCAAAAAATTAATAAACTAAAAAATGTATTTGGCAATTTAAAATGACTTTTTCACACTAGAAAAATAAGAGTTTTGAAGAAGTCATCCTTCTATTTTTTTTTTTTTGAAACTCCTATATATTGATTTTTCGAGATAGAAGACTATAATACTCTTTATGAGCTCTCTCAAGGCCGGCTCCGAGATTTCGGAAGCCCTGTGCAATTTAGTAAAAATAGGCTTTAAAACATATAAATCATAAAATATAAAAAATAAAATTTTAGTTTTTCATTTAATCTCTAAATATACTTCAAAACCAAAATTTCATTCAGAAAAATACACAAGATAAATTTGCTTCTAAAAATATCATCCTTCTAAGACAAACTTTTTAACGAGCTCTTCATAAGGAATATATTTACTTCTCTTGATCAACCAAGTCAAAATTTGATAAATCAAAATGAGAATAAAAAAGAAAAAAAATCTGAAATTAATGAAATGTAAATCAAAATTCAAAATGTATAAATGATAAATATAAAAATCTAAAAGTTATATTACATCTATAGAATTGGAATGATTTGCTTTCATTAACCAAAAACAGAGTACAAGTAATTACATTATATATGGAGACAACTAGCTAACCATTTAACTCTTACAATCTTACAACTGATAAATACAAAAGAGTAAAAAGACAAATACACCCTTAATAAAGAATTGACAAATATAACCCTTCATGTTCAACTTGTTAATTAAGATTTATTTATCTACCTCTTAAAAATCTCATGAGCAACAACCAAGAAGAAACTGTCACTGAACGCAAAGGCATCTCTTGAGCAGCAATGAACTCTCCAACATCATTGTAAGAGGAACAGTCGAACGCAAACTTAAAATATAAAATCTCTAATATTGAGCAACAAAACCAGGATGAAAAAAAGAGTAACAATAGACGATAATAACCTTGGAAAGTTGAAGAATCAAAAATAAAATGCGACTTGATGTTGTCATTTGAGGAAAATCAAAAACTTATCAGAAATCAAATCAAAAATTTATCAAAGTGGATTATAGTCACATAGTCATAAAGAATGAAAGAAAAAGGAAACTGATTATCAAAAACAGAAAAGAAACCGACGTGCTTGTTCAAAATCAAAACTTATCAGAAACGAAAAAAATAGAACTTGATTTGCTTGTACCTTCAAACTCAAAATCAATTTCATCAATGCCTTGTTCGTTCCTTCTGTATTCTGATTTTCAAAACCGATGTGCTCATGTGCTTCAGTTCTTGTTCCTCTAAATATGATTTTCAAAACTCAATTCTTGTAAAATTCTTCCTTCAGAATTAGAAATAAAAAATTAAGCAAAAGAAAAAGAAGTAAGGAACAAGGAAAAAACAATAAAAAAATCGAAAATACCTTTATCTCTAACCCCTCCTGATTTCGAAACTACAAGTCCACAACATGAAATCTGAAGCTTCTAAAATCTGGTTTTCGAGAAGAAAGAAGTGAAGAATGTGTTTTCTGATTTTTGAAAAAGATTGAAGGATGTTTGTAACTTTGTTTCAGATATTTGAGAAAGCAGAAATATAACACTTGGATTTGTAAATTTCATGTTTAGCCCTTCATATTAAAAAGCATGGCATTTTGGTCCCTTTGGTTAGTACGCGGGGGGTACCATAGTGTACGCTTGACGTACTAGCTGAGGTTTGGTCGCAGAGCTCATCCACGTACGTTGGGCATACGTGAAGTACGTTGGGCGTATGTGAGCCGATATGAAACCCTAATCTTAGGGTGTTGTACCCTATTTAAACCTTGTGATAGCCTCACTAGGTCATGTTTAGACAGCCTTCATCCCCTCTTGTCCAGAAAATCGAACCCTAAGTGAGATCTTGAGAGTTTGAGCCTTAAAGTGTGATTGATGGTGCTTTGTGAAGGAGAAGAAGAAGTGAACCATTTGGAGTAGTTCTTGGAGCTTGAAGATCTAAGATTTGTTCTTCATTTGCTTTCCTTGTGAGGTAAAAAGCTTCCACCTTGCTAATCCATGATGTTAGATCTAGTTTGGTGCCATTTTGTGCTTTTTGAGTCCATGGTTTGGTTGTTGAGCCTCTTGATTCACTCCAGAAGTGATTGATGGTAAATCTAGGGTCCTTTAGGTCCCTTTGTCCATAAAAATGTAAGCTTTATGGTATTTGTGGTCTCATGCATGTGTTAAGTCATTTGTTAAGCTCTTTTGAGCTCTAAGAGCCTCATTAAGCCATGCATGCACGTAACGTTGGCAACTTTACATGATAAACCACCTTAAGGAAGTCAAATATAAGTGTTGGAGTGAAGTCTTAACCGTTTAAGAGCTGAATGAGAAAGTTGGCCAAGTTGGTGGAGTACGTTGAACGTACAAGCAGGTACGTTGCACGTACAAGCCCTAAAGCGAGTACGCCCTACGTACTCAGCGGCGAACTTCGTATATGTGGGCTTCTCGGTATTGGGACATGTTGGACTTTTGTTGTCTTGGGCCTGATTAGGCCATCATAATTCTCTTGTTGGGTTGTTTATATTTTATTGGACTCTTTTGGTTGAAGTCCCATGAGAGAGGTTTGGGCCCAATTTGTAAAATTAGGCCAATTTGGGCTTTGGGTGATTATTTTGGAATTTGGGCTTTCGGACAATTGGATTGGGCCTTGGCCTTAGTTTAAGTTAGGGAAAGGGTAAAAAGGTCTTTTACCCTAGTTTGGACTCTTAGTGTGAGTTGGGATCCAATTATTAATTGGATGTTATTTTGTGATTGATAGCGTGAAGATTTTAGCGGGCCAGCAGCCAAAGATTTATCTATGAGATTCAGCAGTGCGAGGTGAGTTTCCTCACCATGTTTAGCGGTTCTAAGGCACCAATGTCGGCCCATGATCATTTATGCTAGGATACTAGATGTTTGTGTGACTCTTGTATGTGTATATGCTTATATTATATGTATGTTGAGCGGGGCCCGTTATGGGAGTTTGGGCGGGGCCCGTTATACTCAGTGGGCGAGGCCCGTTATGGGAGTTTGGGCAAGGCCTGTTATATTCAGTGGGCGGGGCCCATTATGTGTTTATTTATGTATGGTATGTGGTATTTTGGGGAACTCACTAAGCTTTGTGCTTACGGTTTTCAGTTTATATTTCAGGTACTCAGGATCAAAAGGGAAGAGCCCAGGATGATTGTAGAGCACACACCACCTTTTTCTGTATTTTGGGATTTACTCTGATGTGTTTTGATGTAGTGACATACTTTGATCTTTTGGGGTTGTATGACAATGTTTTGGATTCATGTTTTTATTAAATCAAAATGAAATTTTTGGGTTTTGTTTTTGTGACGTTTTGAAGTTGGTATCAGAGCCTTGGTTTGAGGGATTCGGACATACTCTCGGGTGTGTCTAAATTCAAACTAAGGATTTGGTAAAGTTTTTCAAAAAGAAAGGTATTTTTAAGAAAAGGGTTTTCTAAGACAAGAAAGGGTGTGGTGCATGCAATCGACCGAGCTCAAGTAAGTTTTCCTAAAATACTCATACATTTTATCTTATATGATTTGATCTGTGAATCTGTGAATCACATGCTAGTTAGGGCTAAGGATCTGCTCAATACTTGCATGATAGAATGCTAGGAGAGATGCCTTTGTATGCCTATTGTATGAGCTTGTAGACTTGCATGTTAGTACTGATCAGTCAGTGATAGGATGGCCCTATCATTATATATAAGCATGACATGCACTCAATCCTCACTCCTAGAGGAAAGCTACATATCTCATAACTGGCGGACTGACCTCCAAATCACTCACCCACCCATGAAACTT